AGTGAGCAAAGGGAAGAAGCCACAGAGACCTCCAGCGGAGGGGCAGATGATGTCTCATTAAAGCTGGTCCAGCTTTTGAACACCAGAGCAGGGCTCTCTCAGGGACAGAAGTGCCCACCTCCTGTAGAAGGTCAAATATCAGACAACCACCACCACAGTCATCAAATTTTGAGCACTTTCTATATGCCAGACATAATGCTTCATTCTTTATAGAATGCAGTAGTTAGGGCTCTTGGGTTGTAAATAACAGAATCCAACCTGATTATTAATAGAGAGTAATTTATTTAAATGATAGTTCTTCATTCTGAAATTGCCCTTCTCTTCAAGTCGGTGTTAAAATTTATTACATTTCATCTAACATTGGTAAGAGCAGATGATAAATGCAACCTGGTATTAGTAAATGTTTCTTTTATCCACATATAAAGTTCATAACACTAAACCATTCCTCTGCCCCCACCAACCAATATTTTCCTTTTGGGTTGTATATAGGGCTGAATTTTATTGCCATAGGACACACAGGTGGGAAAGCCACTGCTTCATACCATTCTCTTAAACCTGGGCATTTTAATTCTTTTATTCAAGAATAACCCAAGGGCTGGAATTTACATTCTATTTACTAACATAGCAAGAATGTTAGGTGATCATATCTGATAGTGTTACATTATTATTAACTAAAGTCCATACGTATTCAGATTTCCTTAGTATTTCCCTAATGTCCTTTTTCCGTTCCAGGATCCTATCCAGGATAGCATGTTACCTTTACCATCGTGTCTCATTTAAGCTCCTCTCAGCTGGGACTATTCCTCTGTTTCTCAGGCTTGTCTTGGTTTTGATAACCTTGAGAGTTTTGAGGTGTACAGGTCAGATATTTTTTAGAATGCTCCTGTTTTTTTCCTCTGTTGTTTTTCTCATGGTTGAACTGCTGTTATGGGTTTGGGGAGGACCACAGAGGTTAAGTGTCATTTTTATCACAACACATCACAGGGACATACGATCCACATGATTGACGACTGTTGATATTGGCCTTGATCACACGGCTGAGGTAGTGTTTGTCAGGTATCTTCACTGTGAAGTTTCTCTTCACCCTTCCCCCATTCTGTGCTGTGCTCTGTGGAAGGGAGTCGATACACCCATCCCACATTTAAGGGTGGAGTATCTATCTAAATTATTTGGAATTCTTCTGCATGGAAGATTTGTCTCTTCTTCATTTATTAATTATTCAAAGATTTATCAGTGTGGACTTATGGATATTTATTTTATATTTTATGTTATAATTCAACACTACTGTTTTTGCTCAAATTGTTACGACTTTGGCCATTGGAGCTTTTTCAGTTGGCTCCTGTATCCCCCTGACATACTCCCATTGTTGGGCTTTTTAAAAAGCATTCCCTGACTTTCTAGCACTACAAGATGCTCCAGGCTCATCTTGTATATTTTCCTAGAATCAATCATTTCTCTAAGGAGTAGGGCTATTTTTGAAACATGATTTTATATCTTACCTAAGGACCTGAGCTTAGGACAGGTCAAAGTCAGCTAGGAAACATTTGTTTACTAGTATGTACGTGAACCACCATCACCACACCCAAATTGTGTGGCTGGTTAGAAAAGATCTGTACGTATATTCCCAGCACTAAACCATTGGCATTCCTGCTTGGTTCCAAGATTCAGACAGCCTGTTATCTTCACTTCTCCTTAAACATCGTTATGAGTGTTATAACAGACAGGTTAATTGCAGGTGAGAGAAAACAAACTCAAACATTTTTAGCTCCAAATCGTCAGTAGTTTTGTATGAGGAAAAGACTCTGATGATATAGACATTGCTTTTCAAACCCAATATACACAGTGTCCAGCCAAGGGACAGGCAAAATTGAAGTGGTCTCTTACTCAATTTTCAAATTTCTTTAATATCTGGGGGAGTGGGAGGTCGGCTGTTATTAAAGCTAGTGGGAAGAATTCCTATTATCAAGTTCAAACCAAGTTTGATGATATATGAAAGTTTTTCTTGAAAGTAAATGAAGCATACAAATAATTTTGTATTGGAAGGGATGGCTTCAAGATACATCTCCATATTTGAAGGGTCCTCCATCAGGAGTGGTGGTTTGATACCACATTTAAGAAATGTTGACATAGTTTCCTAATTGAAACTGGAGTAATAATAAATCTTCACTAACTGGTGAATAGTAGTTCAGCCAACAGTTAAACATGGTTTGTTTTGTTCTGGGAGAGGTAGGGAGAGGGAAGTGCTGGCAAC